GCCATCGCGTCCAGCGCCAGCGTGCAGGTGTAGTTGCCATCGCCGAGGACGAAGAGCACCGCGCGCCGCGACCAGTCGAACGACCAGCAGCGCAGCGCGCTAGAGCCGTGCGGCAGGGTGAGGCCACCCGCCGCTGTTCGTTGCCGCACTGTCACACGAGATTGCCCCACCGCCAGCAGCAACGCGTCGACCCGCCCATCCGCGGCACCGTCATGCACCACGACAGCAAAGGCGTGGTCGGCGTCGTCTGACGTGGGGCCAGTGGGTGCTGCCCCCATCATGACTGCTACTCCTGCTGGTGCCTTTGTTATAGAACTGTGGGGTAGTTGGGCGCGGCCAATCAACGGCGGCAGCGGGGTCAAAGTTGCGTCGGCGTTACTGGAAGGATCCAGCGCGTAGCACAAAACCTCCTCCGCGGTGCGCACAACGAGCGTTGTGCCGAAGAAGACCTCCATCTCCTCGACCGCAGCGGCGGCGGGTGGCGGAGACTCCAGCACGTCTCGTTGCTCCTGTGCGGCACCGCAGCGGCGGAAGTGTATGCGCCCCGCCTCGGCGTAGAAGGCGCCACACTGTTCCAGTGGGGCACCGGGCGGGTGCCACGGCGCGCAACAGCCAACATGCTTCGGCAGCGGCACCTCCACAGCGGCAGTGGGGGACGACGGGGATGAAGATGTTGCTGCTGTTGGGGCGAGCGAGCGGAAGTAGACGTGTTTCTGGCCGCACGCCGCCATTGCCGCCTCATCAAGAAGCACAAGACGGTCGCAGTTGGCCGGTAACTTGGTCACCTCTGTCATTTCCTGCTAGTGGGTGAGTTATTGCGTGCGCGAGCGAGGGGAGTGATAGTGTGGGATTTTGAAAGAAATATAAATGTGCACTTCCCTCTTGTTGCTAGCGCCAATGCGTATGCGTGTGTGTTTACTACACTCCCAGTAAGACTGGGCAGAGAGAGAGAGAGAGAGAGAGGGGGTGGCATGTATGTATCCATATCAATACGGCTTTCCGGCGTGTGCCAGGGTGGTGCCGCGCCCGCCCACGCACACACACACACA